GGTTTCCCCCCTTATTTATAGCCACCACCAGCTGTCTCTCCGTGGGCATTAGCACAGGTGCCAGCAATGCCACAGCCCCGGGCTCTATAAATAACAGATCCAGAGCCTGGGCTGGCTGGGGTTTTTTTTTTGGGGGGAGGGGAGGGGGTGTCACTCCAACTGAGACCTAAGACTCTCATCACAGTAGTAGACCTGTATGCTTCAGTACAGGCATCTGTGGTAGTGTATGTCTCTGGGCTGCCAAACAAGGGGAGGTGGCAGTGCTGGACATGGGTGGGCTTTCCATCAGGGTGGGCTCCCAGAGGCCCTGCAGGGAGGGTGTGACTTGCCTTTCCAGCCCAGGGCTTTCTGGAAGGTGCTGGGTGCTGCTGCAGCTGCTGGCACAGGGCCCTTTGTCCCAAGGCTCAGCTGTCTCAGCTTCCCTAAATAGAAAGGGAAAAGGGTCTGAGCACTGCCATGGGGGTCAGCCATCCCAGCTGGGATCTTTTTTAACATGAACCCCCCCTGTCATTCCCCCTCCCCACACCCAGAGCAGCTCTGCAGGTGGAGGGGAGCTGGGCTCTGTGCTGGCAGGGGGACAGGATGCCCGTAGCTGCAGCGGCGCTGCCCGCTCACATGCAGGTGCCCCCCTGGGCTGGGCTGGCTGCTGGGGCCCGGCTGCCCCCGGCGCTATATAGCACGGGGGGACAGGCTGTGGTGACAGGTGACACTGACAGGCAGCAGGAGCTGCCAGGTCCTGCCCAAACTTGGAGAGGGAGGCGAGCTCCTGCCTGAGCTGTACGGAGCCTCCGTGGTGCTGGGAAACTTCTTTAATTCTTCTTTCTTTTCTTGTTTTTCTTTCCTGTATTAAGCCACTTCTAAGGATCTCCAGCCAGAGGAAAAGCTTCTGAGAAGCCACAGCCTTGAGGAGCAATTTAAGTCTTCATTTTCCAAACTCTTCAGCCTGGTAAGCTGCTTTTATTAATGTCTGTCTTAATTATGTGTCAGCCTCACAGTGAAGCTCAGCCTGGCAGCGCAGGCAGGCAACGCCAGTGACCCAGGGAGGTGAAAATGGGACACAAATTGATGTTTCTCCTTAAGGCTCTCCAGATGGAGGATCCCATCCAGCTGAAAGAGGAGGGCAATAAATATTTTCAGGCCAGTGACTACGAGAAAGCCGTGCAAAGCTACACTCAGGCCATAAAGCTCAACAAAGACAAGGCGCTGCAGGCGGTGCTGTACAGGAACAGGGCAGCCTGCTTCCTCAAAAAGGTGAGAAGAGCTCCTGGTTTGCCTGGGCACTGATCTTCAAGGTCCCTTCCAACCCAAACCAGTCTGAGTCTGTGAAAAGGCACCTAAGCCCCCAGCTTCTGTGGGCTGCTGGTTTCACTGGGGTGTCCAGTTAGTAAGTGGGAAGAGGAGTCACAGTGTTGGTCAGCAATGGTGACCCAGCCCCACCACTAACGAACCTCCCTTTGGTCTGACAGGAGGAATACGCCAAAGCAGCCTCAGATGCATCCAGAGGTAAGGAGGGGGCTGCTCTGAGAAGGGAGAGCTGCACTGCTTGGGTTTGTGTGCTGCAGCCCCTCTAACATCTGCTCCTGGGTCTCTGTAGTCTTAGTCCTTGGTGTCCATTCACACCCAGGAGCTGAGGCCACAAGTAATTCAGAGGATGCACCAATTTGGTGCAATCTGTGCTAATTAGTTTACTCACAATATTGTTGACTATGTCTCAAGGAGCTGCAGTCACTCTAAAGCAAATAACAGTTTACACAGAGGAATTCTAGGAAGCAAACTCTGATGCCTGGTTTTGGATCACTTTCCCAGCTATTGACATCAATGCTTCAGATATCAAAGCCTTGTACAGGCGCAGCCAAGCTCTGGAAAAACTGGGGAAATTGGATCAAGCATTCAAAGATGCTCAGAAATGTGCCACCATTGAACCCCGCAACAAGAACTTCCAGGAGGCCCTGAGGAGACTGGGGGCCAACATCCAGGAGAAGGTAAGTGCTGGGGGCACAGACAAGGTGTGGGGAGTCTGTTCTGGGCTACATTGATGGATTGTTGGAAACTCATAATAATGTACGGGGATAGATAGGCTCAGTTAACTCAAAGTTCATACTTGCTGCATGTAAATCTGAGGATAATGTTGAATGGTGGCATTAAGAAGTGTAGCAGCTCACTCCTGAGGCTGGCCTGGTCCTCAATGTCTTGGCAAGCTCCTGCAAAGGATGTGGGCTGGCTTTGGACTGGGTCTGGTAGTCACTACATTGACTTAGTTAGCTCTACAGGGGAGTTGTGAAGAAGTCCCTGCACCTCTGTGGGGTCTCAGAGATGATGGCTTAGGTCTGGTTCTGCCCATGCCCATGAGTCTGAGATGGGTAATCACTGCTGAGGGCTGAGGAGTGATGCCTGCTTCATTACCAGCTTAGATTGTCTGTGGTCTGAGGGTCTGTGTTGTCCTTGAAGTGATAAAGGAAAATTGCTCCCAAATTTTCTCCCTCTGATGCCTTCTGTTTTGGCACAGCTGCACATTCAGTTCTCCACAGACCTGAGGGTGCAGAAGATGTTTGAAATCCTGCTGGATGAGAACAGTGAGAAAGAAAAGCGAGAAAAGGTGAGAACTGTCCTGAATTTGACAAAATTGCTGTTCACTGCCAGAGGCCACACTGAGGAGCATAAGGCTCTGTCCCCTTCCCCACCACTCCTAGATGGAGGACCAGGTAAGGAACTGGGAGATGAACCAAAGAGGCATCACCCCTGCCGTGAGGGGAGATGATGCAACTTCCCAACATACCAAAGTAGGCATCAGTCTGGACTTCTGCTCATGCCCATCTCTGCTACCTTCCCCATGTTTCCCTCCAAGGCCTCCCCAAAGGGACCCACTTCTCTTGGGTAGAGCAAAGATGAACCCCAGATCTCCCAGAGAAACTGCCTGGTGGGTCAGAGCTAGTCCACTGCATCTGTCAGGAGATCCCACCAGGACATCACAAGGTGTTTGGAAGGTGCCCTCAGGGCTGTGC